CTTCGGTTTCCTTTCAAGGTTTCCCTACCTGTACCCTTAGGAAATGGAACCCTAGGCCGGCGTGTGGCACCGCTGTCAAATCAGTACGCATATCCATGAGTGTGTCAAACCCTGTCTCAAAGGGTCTTCAACCTTCACCTCATTCATGCGATGGTGTATCAGCAGGGGGCGACAGAGTCGCTGCGTGGCTGTCGCCAACGAAGCTCCTTGCAGTTGACGAGGATAACACAGCCGATCACCGTGACGTACCTGCATATTGCACTTTGGGGAACCTAAGTGTGCCCAAAGCTATCCACTGCTTTGTTTTCGTATTAAAGGGCTAATGAGGTAAAGCGCTAATGCATCCGGAACTCAGCAACTGATTGAATGCTCGACCCGTTGAGCTCTATATCTAAGTGTGTCTTCGCGGCATCGTCCCACTGCGATGTGCCGTGTGATCCGCAGTGAGACGGAATTGCATCGTGAACTGTTTTCTGATCTCAATGTCTTCTTGAGAGAGCTGAATCAATACCGGGGGGTCCACGGAATTCATTTTTACTGAATAGTTCATGCATGCTTCTGAATAATCATGCATCGCTTTTAAGCTGTTTTTTCTCCTTCTTGCGCTTTCTCTTTCTAGGTCTTTGTTCGTTACTAGAGGCGTCTTAGGTTGTAACTGAGGCTCTTTCAGTCAAGAGTGCGCCGGATTCGTCTTGATGGCCAAGTGAATGTCAACACACCCCCACACCCCCTGGTTCTCTTTCTTTTGTTAGGTCTTCTTCTTGAGGTTTGTTAGGTTGTTTTTATCAGGCTCGTTCAGTTGATCCACCACCCCACACACACAGTGACCCCCAAACAAACCCCAACCCCCCCTCCGCTTTCGTTTCGTTCTCTCCTGCCTTTTGTTTCTCTTTCTAAGCCTTTCTGTCTTTTAGATGCTTTTTAGGCTTGTAGCTAGGCTTTTCAACGTGCGCTGTTCTTCTTGTTGGAGAAGCTTTCCTTCCTTTCTCATTTTCTCCTTCTCGATCTTTTGTTCCTTGCTAGAGGCCGTTTGGTTGTTGAGGAGGCTTTTTGTCCAGCGCGCGCCGAAATATCGGCTATCTGCGCGTGCCCTGCCACCAAATCTGCACAAAGTACTGCGCCTGCCACTAAGTCTGCACTTCAAGGTCCGCAAAGCGCTGTGCCTGCCACGAGATCTGCGCAAAGTACTGCACCTGCCACGAAATCTGCAAGGTCCGCAAAGCGCTGCGCCTGCCACAAGATCCGCGCAAAGTACTGCACCTGCCACAAAATCTGCACTTCAAGGTCCGCAAAGCACTGCGCCTGCCACAAACTCTGAAATCTGCGCAAAGTACTGCGCCTGCCACGAAATCTGCGCAAAGCACTGCGCCTGCCACGAAATATCGCCCCGGCCAGTGGATGCCTCGCGGTGGACTGCTAGTCCGCCGGGCCTTGTCCGCTGCAGCCCCATCTTTAGCTGAGTGCGGTTGAAAACTCGTGCAGTTGATCATGGGTCATTGGAAAACAATTAGGGATTCGAGAGAGACTTTCCATCATCTGGGTTAAGTTGAATAATGAATCCGTCGACCGCTCAACTACACCGCAACTATGTCGGGGCCTAATCAGAATTCAACTCAAACGGATGTGTGTGTGTGTTTTTTTGCGCTTTCGCCCGCTACCGCTGTTTCAATGCTATTTTGCGATTTCAGCCACAACTGCCAGACGTTTCAGCCACAACTGCCAGCAGTCCGTACCCAGTCCTTCACAACCCCAGGTCCCAAGGGTCCCAAGTCCTTCGCTGCCGCAGCTCCAAACAGCAACAGACTGGATCCTTGGTCCATCCTCGTTGTGAACGTTTGGCCACGAAAAACACACTCAACTTCTTTATTTTTTATATACGGTATTTATAAACATATATCGACATATATAGTAATATAGTTATAGAAGAGTTAGCTTCACAACAAATGTGCTTACAAGTGGGTATCAAGGAGAATTTCGATAATATAACGTGGAGACAACAACAGTTGAACCATTGCTCCCACTGCGTCTTGAAGTCTTGCTCTGCAATTGTCAAAAGGCTTGAGCCTTTGGCAGTTGTGAAGGCAAACACACATAAATAGGAGCCAATACAAGCCATGCCAGCGAGGAAAATTGAATGCATGTCCATGCGATTTGGCTTTGGTCAAGCTTGGCATGGGTGTGCTTGTCGGTGTAAGAAGCCCTGTCCAGTGACAAATATGCCTATTTATGCCAACTCTAGGAAAGGATCGCAACACCCATAGCAATTGCAATGGGTGTGGTGATACTGTGTGTTCTTTGCTCACGCAACTTCGCTGCCGAGCAATTTGAGGATCTAGGCTTTTCAACGAACCCACTGGTCATGCTTTGCAGGATAATGACTTGTTGCCAAGATCCAAATCTACGTGGCTTGGACAACACTTTGCTGCCGCCCTTTAGCAACTGCTCAACTAATCTTTTCGCCTTCCTTGTACCTCATGCTGATCATGAATGAGTTGCTTCTCAAACATGCCTTTACACGATTTGCTGTGGCGCCACACCTCTACCGTCTTCTATCCAGCCCGCTAGATATTAGATATGGTTGTCCAATGGACAGCTTGCCATCTGAGTGAGCTCTTCCGACTATTGTTACATGTTCCCTCGCAAATCTTTGTCAAATCAAGTGTTCAACAAACAGAAGACATGGCGCACGTCCCTGACACCACCTTGCCATCAGGCCAATACACTGTTCCATCACCTTGAAGAAGTTGGCCAGAAACAAGGTCACACAGCACTCCCATGTGTCTCAGAAGTGGACCATGCTTGAGATTGTTCTGATAAGTGCCGACAAACCTGGCCCCTGTTGGCCATCCGTAGGTCTGACGCGCAGGGTTGCGCAAACAAGCGCATCATTGACAAAGAACGGACTTGTCACAGTGTCACAAAGAACAAACTTTTCTCACAATCAAATGCAAACGGATTGGTTCAAAGTCCAAAGGAATATCGGCCCTGCATTGACTTAAGCCGACTTAGCCCTGAACCCCTTGACCATGCATTTGATCGTCTTCCCATTCGCCTGGATGAATATTAAATGATTAAATGACATCAAACAATCGGACTTCCACATGTGAAATTGGACTTCCACATCTCGTGCATGGCGTTTGGCCTTCGTAATAGTGGCCGTTGCTCCATGAGTACTTGCCCTGGCCTTTCAGGTGTCGGAATCGGCATCCTACATGCTCAGGCTACATGTTATAACAAGTTATGACGAATAGGTCGGAGCATGTCAGGGCGCGTGCCATGCAGCTTTCCATCCGAGACCTCCAAGCAGCCGACACCACGGGTGCCATGGTGGGTCACACCCCGGGACTCTACGCCACACTGGTTCGTATACAAACAAAAGATAACAAAAGCACTGACTGACTGACACAGTCTCTGTTTCGAGCAAACACACGGGTTTTGAGCAAACACACGGGTTGCATCTGAAACAGCTTACGAAACACAAACACCTGACACGGGAATGGTCAACAGGATCCGTTTCAGGCCGTGACTTCTCCGACATAGGTTGATCCGTCGGGGAAGTAGATGGAAGCTTGCCTGGTGGAATGTCCAAGCAAATGAAGGCCAAAGAAGGCTTTGTAGAGAGTCACACTTGTTTAGTATACAATATATTTCTATAATATTAATATGTGCAATGATTGTAACAGTTAACATGGAAGACGAGGTCTGCATCGCCAAAAAAAGGCGTCAGGACTGAGATAAGCGGCCCCTGCTTCTTGCCCTCGACAAACTGACCTGGCCAGGCACAGAGAAGTTTCGCTTGAAGGCTTGAAGCTGCTGGGGCTTTTGACACTCCCGCATGTTGCTTCTCGAGGCCCCCAAACAATGCATGTTCGCTGTGCAAGGAAGCGGACAATGTGGTATCAATTTGTAATCACATGTTCTAAATGGGCGGGGACGATGGCAGCCACTGTCAATGTCAATTGCTGAACAGGACATAAGAGTGGCCGGATTCTTTGCACTGATCATTTTGGTTTCCTGCAAAGATCGCAAAGGTACATGCCAATTGACCCAACACAGAGGATAGCACAGGCTGCATGGTGGGATTAGTGATCTAGGTCGCTCACATTACCAGGGCCCAGTGGATGATGATGCTTAGGTTGTAGGCCTTTCCCAAAAATAGTGATAATTACCATCCTTTACTGACTGTTTCTGGTTTCCTGGGACACCCTAGGTCTTCAAATCGCGGATCTCCACGCAAAGCGATTTGCTTCGCCTTGGTGGATGGCTCCTTCCGCGGTGGTTTCCCGCCCTTCGCCATCCTTCGTGCCATTCTTCCACCTAGGCATACTTGCTGGTGTGCCATTTTGGGGTGCACTGCATAGTTTTTGTTTGGATCAAAATCAAAAATCAATCTATCATTCTTGATTCTTGAGCCCCCTGCTGTCCCTCATATTTTGCGCCCGTCGGCAAGGTGAAGGTAGCATAACCATGAACCTGGAGCATTGGGCTAAGAGATGCCCCTCACGACCAAGCCATCTCTCCATGTCGACCCAGTTCTACAATGCATGTGGGTCAAAATTCAAGACCCCACTGCTTTTGGTGGTCTTTTCCTTTCTCGTAAAAGCCCTGACTTGGTGCACGACTCTTGACACTGACAAAAAGATGCTGAATGACTGGGCATCCAACCAAGCCGTGCTCAAACTGGCCACTGTACGAGGAGCCATCAGGTAGGGTCAAGACACCTCTGCCGTGCCTGATGTGCAAGGACGAAGAACAATTGCACATCATCATTGCGTCACAATGGACATTTTGATGAAAAAACATTGAGACACGTAGCGCCTTGGAACTTGATATACTGGTCATGAATGCCATGATTTGCGTCTGGGAACTGGGAACTCTCACGTTGCAGCAAAAATAAACCCTTGGAGATGTATGGAGACGTAGTGATGGTTTTGGACTAGTCCGAGCCCCAGCAGTTGCCAGTTGCTGGAGGTTCAGTTTTTTACACTGTGTGCCATTCGCTACTCGGCGATGGTATCTACAGCCCCCACTTTGGACACCAGGGCCGAGCACCATGATACTAGGCCCGAGCCCGACATCACCCCACCCAAACGGCTGCAGGGGAAGACGGGCCTCACGGTTCCAACCCATTCACCTGCATAGACGCTGCCATCCTCAGAGTGCACTGCGTCCAAAGCATCGGAGCGATTGGGAGACACCACTGGTGGTGAAAACGCCATGATTGGTGGTGCCCACTCGTAAGGTCTCCATAAATTGGGTTTCTGTTTTCCCCACCCCTGTTTTTGGGGTTTGCAACTTGCAACCAGAGAATACCTAAGAGGAGGGGGGTGAAGTATATTGAAATTGTGTTGAAGTCTAAAGCAGCTGGGCCAAGGACGGCTAACAGCTGCCTGACAGGATTGGTCTTATCTGAGATTCGAATGCAGAATAGAGCTGTTTATTGTTGCATGCTCTTGTCTCAACAAAAAAACACCTATATATATAAGCCGACCAGCTGCAAACACAAGCCAGATCTGCGGTGACATCTTCGTGGCTTTTCCTATCCTCTGGACCTGGCCACGCAGCACGAACATCTCGGTTCTTCTCCGCAGAAAAGCAGTGTCCACGTCGGTCCCGGTCGCAGAAAAGCTGCTTTGGCGTCGCGGCCGATGTCACACCAGTCAGTCTCTGGCGTCGGGGCCTCGTCGCAATAGATCTCTGCGCGAGCACCGTCTTCTGCACCAGCTGTGATCACAGAAGCCGCCTGAGAAGGCGGAGTTCTGCAATGACTTGAGCTTTTCATGAGGCATCATGAGGCCCAAAATAACTCATATCTTTCCACCTATGAACTGCCAACAGCTGTGTAGGCAAAGATTCAGCAAGTGATTTTGCAAGATTGAGTCAAAGATAGGCACCACTTCCAATGTTTTCTCCAGGCTTTGCGTCACTTCTGCGCAGCCTCACCAGCAGTAGTATAGATTCAACAAATCCCAAGCGTGCCAAAGTCGAGAACATGGATGCCTGTCTCGGATCTATATTATGTCCCTTAAAACTCTTGAATCAATCGATTTAATAAACAAGATCTTACGAGCTAACCTAAAGGTTTGTTGCCAATGCTGCAGCTTTTATGCATGATCGGACATCTTACAACAATAACATGATCTTGATACATAGAAAGGTTTCTTCCCTCAACAGCTGTGTTCAGCTTCATAACACCATAGCAGTGTTCGGATCCTAATAGAAAGTAGATGCCATGAGCCATGAGCCAGTTTTTGCCACTATGAACAGTTCGGCAAACAAAGTCTGAATCTTCATTACTTCTTGATAAATATACTCCTATATAAATGTGTATAAAGACAACAAACTATGCTGCATTCAGAAATTCATTTTGCGGCCTTCTCATCAGAATCTTAACTAGGGAGGCAAAAAAAAGCACCATGCAATACCTATTAATATCTAATATGTCAAACGTATCAGGTCAGCAACATTCGGAATTTGGAAGAGCACGTTTGTTTGGCAACAGCTGTCTGATTGGCTGATTCGTATTGTTCTTGGTCACTCCACATTCCGATGCTTCAAGCAGCCGAACGGCAATGCATACTTCAGGGTACTGATTATACAAAAGTGTGGACGATCTCTGTAAATATATATATAGAGAAAGAATAACAGCACATTGTCTGTTTAGCAGTTTGAGATTACAAGCAGCAGTTGAGGCGAGCACGGGACTGCAAGTTGTCATTCTCCATCAAAACATCGGTGAGTCTGGACCTGAAAACATACAGAAACAGACTTCCAAACTCCTTCACCACACAAACAGTCAGACTGCAACGAGGCAAACTTATGGACTTGTTTCCGAATCCCTCCAGCAAGCTACCCGCTCTTCATGTACTCCTCACCTTAGCCACTTCCGCAGCCAAAAGCGGAAAGGCGGAGCACTCAGCCACACTGAGTTACCGTGGCCTAGCCATGTCCTCCGCTGGCTTGCAGCATCAACTGCGTCCTGGCGAAACATGCAACACCTCCTGCCCTTGGAAAGGACTTGTCGCTGGTTGGTCACTAGCAATTCTTCTTTTAGTTAAACCATGTTGAAGCAGAAGCAGCTTTTGGTTGGCAAGGTCCTTCAGCGGCTCATCATCGCCTTTATAGCCAGTCCGACATCGTGGAACCGGCAAAGGCAAAAACACGGTAATAACATGAAGTTGAATCACGTGGGAAGACGTGTTACACTTGCTCCGCAAACAAATGCGGAATGTTGGAAGCATTCCCTCAGTGCCCTGGCCGGCGTGCCTTCTTTCTCGTCAGATTTTAAGTCCAATTGAGAGTCAGTGATGGTGTGGATAGCCTTGGTCGTGATGCTCTAGAGCACAAGTGCCTAGTCAGCTTGTCTTTGAGACTTGCTCTGCTTGGGTCCGAGCGCTAACACTGCTATCCTGGAACAGTCTTTCCACCTTGTCAACTCTTCAAACGATGCTCGTGAATCAAGCTATATACTGACTGCACACTTCTCCCTGGCCAGCTAAAACAAAAACGATTACCATAAAGAATGCTCAAAGTCACCACTCCTGCAAGACCTATTTGCTCCTCTCAACTGTCGGTTCCAAACACTGGTACAAGAATCTATCTGAGCTTTTCACGAGGCCTGCTCGCCTCTGTCGGCTGAAGAACTGCTGAAGCACCTAGCGATAGCGCCAGGCGAGGCACTGTCAGCCAGAAAAAAACACTGTGGAGATGTCACATGGGCCAATCCACTGGATTGACTGTTGAAGATCTCCAAACATGCAAAACAAATATCTTGTATGGCCCTGTATGGAGGGTGTACTTTTTCTTTGTTTGTGCCGGAAAGTTTGGAGCCATGCACATGTTTGATTTCCCCCCCATACTATATTCCGCAAAAACTCCACTGTTAGACAACGAAAACTAGATCAAACACCCTAAACCAACTCTGCATGACAAAATATGAACTGGGTAGTGATAGTAGTGAATGATGTTCTTTATCATATTGTTTTTACTAATGTTTTATAAGTTCTATACTTGACTAAAAAAGATTTTTTAAAAAAAACGTGAGACCCATTCATTCGATTGCCATCTGCCTCGAAGGACAAAGGTTCGCCGCTCGCACAGGCGCAGCCTCGGTCGTCCGGTCACCGGCGTTTCGGGTGCGAGCCGAAGTGGTCGGCCGTTCGTCCCAAGAGGTCTAAGAATTCTTAGCTTATCTGAGTGCATTGTTTTCTGATGTTGCATGATCTGCATACAGGAACGCATGAGGTCGGCAGACTGTATAATTGTACTGCATCCAGATGATCCAGTCTGAGGTCCAAGCAAAATGGAAGCATCTCGATGGACTCTGCGGACGTTTTCCCTCCCTCACACGAACGGATGGCATGGCACCGGTGTTCATGACAGTCCCACCCGGCCCGGGTAAAGTACTTAAGCCATTGGTCATGCCAGTAGCCTACATGCACCTAACATTGCAAAACATAAGGAATTAATGGCCGTAAAGCATGAGATAAATTACTTATCCAACCCATTGCCAGACACCACAAGTTTATGAAGAGATTCCTCCCCTTCTCTTCAGGAAGGTGTTCACCATTCCTGTGCTTTGAGATGTCTCGTTTCGAAGCAAACTGTCCACCGCACCCATCAATCGAGGCCCTTGCACCATCCACCAGGACGCGCTTGTACACGAAGTCCACATACCTCATTTGGCGACCAAGCAACTCTTCGTGCAAGGGGTAGAGTTGATGTGTCAGAGCAAAATATAGATAGCATGCACTGCAGCATTCACTGTCGAGCGAAGATAAATGTCTCAGGTTCTCGAAAGATCTGGGACACAAATCTTGCTTTCAGCTTCTGCACTCAGCAGCTCGGTATCCCAAGTCCCCCGGCTTCTCTCTCTCATTGGAATCCAGGTCATCTTCATGCGCCAGGATGTAGTTGAAGCGTCGGAGCTCAGTCGAGACTTTGGTGTTGGAACACATGGGATGATGTGGAATCATGTCTCAAGAATCATCATTCACATGCATCTGTTTGCGCTAAACCCAAGTACAGATGCCTTAAGTGAGGGATGCTTTAAGCTTTCGCATCTCGTTTCACATCTTGTGGATGCCCTGCTGTTCGCTGCCACGAGCTGTTTCACATCTTCGCACTAGCTTAGTGCGGTGGCCTAGCCTGGGCCCTTATAGTGAACAAGGGCCCAGGCCACCGCGCTAAGCTAGTGCGAAGAGCGAAGCTAAGACTTGTGGAAGTCTGGCCGTTCGCGTTCGCTTGGTCGGGCACCATGCGCTGCTTTGTCACACCTCCCTGGGCAGGCAAAGACCATGGATGAGCAGCACGAAGAAGAAACATGAAGAAACACCACGACCCGTGTGCCACGTGTCCCGCCTTGTCATCTTGCAAGTCTTTGAAAGTTGAGCTATCTCAGTGATGGTGTCAACATCGACAACCATCATTGCTACAAACAGCCATCGTCTATCCAACTGAATGTAGAATCTTGCTTATATTTCAACCCCCAACATGAAGAGGTTTAATATCCAAATGGTGCTCGTTAATACTTTGCTTTATTAAATCAGGATATTCTACATTGTCCTACATGTGCAGTCGCACCGCTGGCATACCTGGCGGCTTTATGTAAGGTCCCTGCAATTCAACAGCCTGGCGGCGATGCCTGCAGTCATCAAACATACCAAACATAGCCAGCGTGCTATGTTGGTTTTTCATCGTCGGCTTGATGTTTGGTTTGATATGAAATACCTCAGTTGTTGGTTTTTCACCGTCGGTGTTGCTCTTCAATTCTTGCTGTCCGCCTGCTGTGCTGTCAATGAGGCCACCCTGCTGGTGCATGACCTGCAGCCACAGTGTGTGGTCGTTTTGAGGGCATCCGGGATCTGTGGCTGTTGGTCGGGGGAGCTATTTAAAACATAAGACACCAAACATCAAGAAACCTCTGCATCCCAACCAACTTGGCCAATTCTTGCGTTCACTTGTCGCACAGCCAATGAATAGCTTCGCTCGGAGTTCTCGTCTGTTCTCTTCTCTTGTATTCTGCCTTTCTCTCTCACTCACTCACTCACTCTCTCAGTCAGTCAGTCGGTCGGTCGGTCGGTCGGTCGGTCGGTCAGTCAGTCAGTCAGTCAGTCAGTCACTCTCTCTCTCTCTCTCTTTCTTCCTTCCTTCCTTCCTTTCTTTCTGTCTCTCCTCTCCCTCCCTCTCTCTCTCTCTCTCGCGGTTGCAAGATTGGACGTGGAACTTTATTTTGCTTGTGACGGTACATGCACAACCATATGTACTACTATACAGCACAGTTCACCCTAGATGCACAATTCTCTTCTGATCACCGGCGCAAGAGATATTGTAGGGAGAATGCTGTCTGCCAATCAATGCGTCCATCATGGGAGTCCAATGTGTTGAGTTGTTTCCAATCGATTCATCAACGGACGAACCTTGGGCGAAGGACTACGACGGACCCCCCAAGTCCCAAGCACTGGAGTACACTCGCGAGAGTGTGCCGAGCATGAAGGTGGCCATCAGATACATCACAAATGACCTCGGCCCAAGGCCCAAAGCCGCCCAGGCCACGAAGCAAGGTAATGCCCATCGAATCATACTACGAAGTCTATGACTTAGTCTGAACAAACAAAGGATCTTGAGGATTTCACGGCACCTGGAGCCAAATGAACACGATCGTCATACCTAGGAACTCGATGATGTTTCGGACTCACAACATCAACAACCATTGCTGCAAGCGGTGCTTCTCTGAGAACTGCACTCTCAAACAATGCCTCGAATGCACGTAGTAGTGCACGCAGCACGAATAAAAGCGATGAATTCACAATGAATTAAGAATGGCGAGAGTTGAAGTAGCACTTTGAAGATACTTGAAGGAATGCTGCCGGCTTGCATGTGTGTCAAAGGAGGAAAACTCACCACCACTCTCAAAGGACACCTGAGAAGGCAAGTCTCTCTCTCTCTCTCTCCCTCCCTCTCCTTTTCCCATTTTTTTTAGTCATGCACACAACGTTTCTTCAAACATACTCAAGTACATACAACATCTCTTTGTCAAAAAAAATAGAAATCCCCTGACCCCAAGGTGTTTTGCATCGGCATCTACTTAGTATTTTCCCCGGACCAGGTCTTCTTCAAGGGGGGGCTCCTGGCTCCTCCCTCTTCAACAAACAGTCCGTCAGTGCCATGTGCGCTCGCACGGAGCCTTGAGACCGTGGTATGTTCTGGTCCAGGAGACTGTAGGACTTGCCTCAAAGGGTCACCGATATTGTGTCATAACATGTCATAACATGATAAACATCATTACTTATAACAATGAACAGGAACATGTATGGTATGAAGTATGAAATAGATCAAACAATCTTTTTGCAACACACACACATCAATGTCATTATTTAACAACTGAAATATGCATGAAATTATGAGATTCAATCTCAAGTTTGAGGCCAGCATTTAAGAACATCGCCATCGTGCGACGCTTCTGCGTCCAGTCCCTCTTTGCTCTCACAGTGACACATGCAACCTCGCAGCAACTTCAGCTGAGCAAATCAGCAAGCTGAACAATCAGCAAGTAGTTCAGCAAGTCATAGTGCTAGGGTCGTGACTAAGCCATTGTTGCTCTTGATTCGGATGCGGTCGCTCTTTAGATCCATCTGGCAATAGCCCTGAGGTCGGCTTCGTTGGCGCGACCGGCGCGAGCGGCGACGTTGGCGCACCTTGTTGGTATAGAAGATGTGAATCTTCACGTCCGCACCAGTCAAACGCAGCCTGTCGAACGGTCTTGCCAAGCGGAAGTCTTCGCTTACTAGGGTTCTTGGTGTAGATGTGCAAGCAATATAAGTCAACAACATTCAACAACCGCTGCGACTTTGCCATGTCGGAGCAAATCATAAACTTCACACGTTGGTTGGATAATCTTGTATACAATCACCTCTACCAACTATAATTATAACTGAAGCTTTCGCTTTTAGACCAACACCACCCAAAACATACATCTCAAAGCGAGGTGGTGTTGGTTTCGTCGCCGCATGTCGCTGCACCCGAGAGAGCTCTAGTCATTCAGTCGCTTCGCATACAAAAAGCATTGCTGTAGTGGTCAAGAAAGGAGAAATTCGAAGATAGAGGGGTTCTTCAAGACCCAGCTTTTCAGTTGAGAAGTGTCCCTGTATTTCACTGTAGGCTTACTTCACTGCCACGATACTACTCGCAACACTCTCAAGTAGTCTTAAGACTTGTCACGTTGCCTGGCCCTAGTAGCGTTCGGACGCTATGCTTGGTGGAGGCCATCGCAATGCTCGGTTGGAGTCCATCGCTACGAACGGAACAAGATACTAGTAACAAAGGGCATCGCTACTAGTAGCAACCGGTTTCTTTCTTAGCTCCTTCACTTCATAAGCTTTTTCACTCTAAGTCTATGTTTTCTTCCTCACTGAGTGCCGGACGGTGGACCCTGTGGACCAAAAGGAGAGGTCGTCAGCATGATTCCTGCTTGGTCAACATCTGCAACTACATCTAATAATTATACATGTAATGAAATGCAAAGGATTAACAAAATCCATCCTCATCCATCCTGAAGAATAAGAAGGGGCCTTTTTAGTCTTGTGGAGTTATTGAAGTTCATTTCGAGCATTCCAATCCATCAACTGGAGAACCAACTCAATTTCTGGCCCAAGACACGCTCATCGAAATTGCTGTACCTATTGTCCAGCAAAAGCCTCGCACATGACAGGTCATGCCAGCAAAAACCTGACAGCTTTGCAACAATCCAACCCTCTAACAACGCATAAGGACGCCCTGCGCTGCCTGCCTGGAATCCGAATCTCCAAACTCATCAGTCTTTGCAGCGGTCAACACCTGGCGATCTTCACTCTGACCATCTCCCTGAGCTCGACATTTGTCCAGGTTTGCTGCATTTGGCGTCCCTCTCAGACACAAACTTTGCATTTGAAGCCACCGTGTTTAACCAGCGGCTTGCGTAACGCTGCTACGTTCTCGCAGTGTAACGCTGCACGAACTGAGTCCTTGAACTGCATAAAAAATGGTTTTCAAGCGCGGGCATGATTTGTAACTCCCCGGTCACCTCGTCCACAGTCAAGGAGATGAGTTCGCCGGGAGCAAACTGCTTCAGGATACTTCCGGAATGATTCAACAGGACCTGACTCCAAGCAATGCACGGAGCGGAACGGGTTTTGTCTGTGAGACGTGTCGCAATACGACATATTACCGGACGCTTCGCAAATGAGCGGAACTGAAACTAGCAGTGCATGATATGAAATGATCATACAGCTGAGTCATTCTGGGTCTAACTTCAACCAACTGACTCTGATCTGATTGAAAAATGAATCAAATTGCGTGCCGGATTCTGTGATCGTGGCCGTCGTCACTCCGTCTGAGGAAGCATCGCTGCTCCCGAACAAGGTCTCCCTGGGTTTGGCGGGCGTCTAGGCGGTCGCGGTCGGCGGACAGCCCAGTCCAGGCAACACTGGCAGCACGTCATATTCATATTCGGAGCCACACCCCAAACAAAGGGGATGGCTTTTGCGAAGACTGGTGCCTGTGGTACATCTCACCTGGCCTTTTTACGAATGTCCAGGGTCCTTTACAGCTCTTTCAGCTGTCAAAAGAGGAGAACGTGCTGAACGAGACTTGCGCTCGCTCTGGGAGTTGTATTGACACTGCATGCCGAGATGATGTGTAAGATCTTCGGAGATCTCGCTGAAGCCATCGAAATGTTCTGCAAAAAGACTGACAGGTCCTATCATGTTCTATAATATACAGTTCTATCTATGAATCTTAGACCGTCATTTCTCTAAATCATCTTGTATCCTGTCACTTCTCAGATCCCTGAGGTTTTTGAAGGGACCTGCAAAAAGCTCAGCAAGTAGTGCTATGCGTGAATTAATTGTCGTGGTAGCCCGGTGTCCACTTCGTTGCAAGATTTGTTCGAAAAAGGACCCAAGTTCCAAAGAAATACATCTCTGTCTTGACCCGTTCCTATACACAGCTCTCAGGTAAACTCTCGGAGCTTCCAGAGCTCGTCCTCTCACTGATGGCCTGAGCTCGCTCCGGATCCGACCCTGTTCACGTCTCTGTTGCAGGGAATTCGACCAGCCAGTTGCTGGCGTTTCTTCTGCAACGGTTGGAACAAACATCCATGGAAGGAAACTAAGCAGGAAAGGAAGCGACAAGAACAAAAGCACTTTTATTTGCAAATGTTCCAAAGACATCCAAAGACTTGAGCAACCAACGACACACAAAAACAAGAAATAAACAAAACATACGTAGTGACTTTAAGGCAGAACATGTGATAAAAACCAAACACGAGAACATGAGCACATATGAGCACTGTCATCGCACGCACCGTCTGACCAAAAGCCACACATTTCGGGTGAAGGCACAGATGCAGTGACAGTCTCTGACATCTATAGATACAGCTAGCATGTATAGCCATCCATCTTCGAGAAATCGTCGGTCTGGTTTCAGCTACTGAAATGGTCTCTCTCCCTTTTCGCCCCAGTGGAGTTTCTATCCCGAACTCCACCCCGTTCGTCGTTCGGACGTCGGAGTCTTCCGGTGCCATGACCGGTCCCGGAGACCAAAATCAGCGAAGCCCCGCGCGCGTTTGGAGATATGTTGCAAGTGATTGATTCAAACATCATCTATATATAAAGGAACTCACACCAAGAATACTTCGACTTTGCAGCTCAGCGTCCGCGTACTCGGGTGAATCGGCGATCTCTCTCCAGAAGCGTTGAGATAAAACGCTCAAGCCAAGGATGAGAACGAGCAATAAACCGCCCAAGTCAGCTACGATAGCCATCCATAAGGCCAAATAGCCAAATAATGCGAAGCCAACCTCCACAATCTTCACCAGGCAGGGAAGGATAATGTTCAACCGCTCAATCCAAACGGCATAGCGACAAAGCCTGATGCACTGTGAGAGTCGTTGCAGCTTGTCGGTCATCATCACCATATCAGCCGAGTTCGCTGCTAACGCTGCCGATGTCTCACCCATGGCGACGCCGACGCTCGCAATGGCGAGCGCTGTCGCATCATTGATGCCATCACCGAGCATCAGTGCAGGCTTGCCTGCCGTTTATGCACAATAGAGCTTTTCAATTGTGTTCATGTTGACCAAGGTTCGCCACTTCACATGTAACAAAAGCCAAGTGCATTTCACATGTTTGGAGTCTGACAGATTTTTCGCCTCGACAGTCTTGCCCGCTGTGATTTCTTAATCTGGGTCACCGACACCCCAGTAATCGGGAGGACTGAGAGTAGCGACACCCCAGTGCAGGACTCAGAGTGGCTGCCCCTCGTGCTCGTTTGAGTTTGAAGTTTTCCAGGGACAAATGAGACAAAGCGAGCCCACACAGTTGGTGTCCCAAAAAGCCACGGTGTTACCGCATGTTACTGCATGTTTCCTTCATCCTGATCTGCATGTTAAGGATTCAAAAAGGGCAGATAAAGACGGAGACGGTCCGGTCTCCGGTCTCCTGCAGGTTTCAAGTCCCCAGGGCCCATTGACAACTCAGGTCCCAAGGGCCGATGCACGGCGATGCTTCCGGCGGAGAAGCGTTTTCAATCGAAAGATATTCAGTTCATTCATGAGGGTTGTACACCTTCATGAGGGTTGCCCTTGCAACCTACCCTTTTTAATACTTTTCATATCTTTTCATCCTGGTCCTTTGGCATGGTGCCATGATTCTTTTCAAGGCATTCCGACGTCGTGCGCTGTACCGACAGCCCCATGCAGCGTGCACGCAGAGGACGCCCCACCTGCCTGAGTCTTCCTGCTTCTGAACCCAATCGTGCTTGTCCTCTGGATGCATTGAGAAGTAGCAAACAGACGGATCCAAACCAGTCGCAATGGCAACCTTGGCTTTGTGGCTTTGACTGGTGACGCAGCCAGGCTTTGAGATCTCAATGTGCTCGGTCTGTCTTTGCAAGTAGGTGTTCTGTCTGTATCGCAAGAATCATGAGCAAAACAAACAACATCAGATCACAAAAAAAAGAAAAAACACTGGTCCTGGTTTGCAGCGGAGAAACATGCCTTCCGGCTGCTTCCGCATCGCCGGTCAACATGACTGGTTCACAGCCCAAAGCGTTCAATTCCTCGACCACTTTGGCTGCATCGCTGCGGATAGTGTCGTTGAGTGCCATGCCAAGCCGCAAGGTGCCTAGGTTGCGCCGTGCGTTGGGACGAGGCTGGGCTCTGAGTGACATGTTTTGGGTCGACCAATTCAAATAAAATCAAATATAAATATAAAACCAAGTGAACGTCAACGTATTGGATGCTTTCATTTTGATCGACATGGTACCACCACATTCATGAGTACCAAACACATCACAGTACACATCACATGAGCAGTAAGTCGCAGCCAATGTACCGTTCACCACCACCGCCACAGTAGTGTCGTGGGGATGACATCGCTGAAAATTGGCGAACATGGATCTGGCCCCGGGATCCGCGACAGCTTCCAAGACTCGATGATTTCCAACGAGAACACTCGCCGTTTTCGATCCAAAAGATACATTGCCTCAGTTGCCCGGCCGCGCTGACACGTCAACGTTTCTTGCCGCCGGCCGGGCAAGGTCAGCAAAAGAAAGGCAAGCAAATAGAACAAACAAACTGCTGCGCAACCGCTGCTCGACCGGAAAGAAAAGCTGCCAAGAATAGCTTCAAAATCACTTCAACTCGACCTATGGCTTCTTTGTTGGGTTGGACCACCAAACTCGAACATGATCAAACTAACATAAATATCATAAATTAAACTACTTAACCAGGCACAAACATGGGCACACAAACACACAAACCACCCCAAATAAGCACGACTTCACCGCCTCCACGTCACCTTGCGCGCCGACGCCTGGGAGGTTTTTGAACTTCTTCACGGCTGGCTCGTCGGCGGTTTCGAAGGCCTCGCCCACGCAGCCCACGGCCTTCGAGACGATGGCCGCACTGATGGGATGAGCGGATTTCCTTACCGCGCAGGCTCACCGGACCGGGGGAGGTACCGGTTTACGGTGAGGGAGGAGTTCAAGATGCGCGAAAATGGGAGGTTCTATATAATTGGACTTAGACTTAGTATAGAGCATCAAAATTGTGGAAAAGCATCAAAATGCTTGAATATACGGAATAGAACTGATAATAGATGATAATTGGATCATGGAACCATGGGAAAGTCGATGAACCCTGGCAGGCAAAATCCCACTTGGGAACTCCAGCAGCGTCCTGCGCTCGTTGCGCTCGCTGCGCTTGTGGTGTCACGTCGCTCCTTCAAGTCCGTACCGGCCAAGCAACATCTCCACAGCTGCAGCCATCTTGAGAGGGTCCAAATCACCTGCATCTTCGGGCACGGAAAAAGAATAAGCTACTAGGAGCAAAAAGGGCATCGCCACTAGGGGCTCCTGGCATCGCTACTAGGAGCAAGGACGCTACGAACGGGGCTCCTGGCCTTACTAGGAGCAATGTTCGCTACGAACGGAGCTTGGACAGCCTGGCTGACTTGGACGGCGATAGGGGGCGTTTTGCAGATCTTCTACGGACATTTGTGGAGGGTCTTTTCGAAGGCGTGATCTTTCTAAAAGAACCGCGACGAACAAAGCCCGCGAACGAACCGCGTCGCGTCGCGTCTGTTTCGCCTGGATCACTTCCTTGCACAAATGTTTCGACGTGAAGGACCGCAAATTCACCTTTGGTGAGCGTCCCGGTCTTGTCCAGACCGGCAGAGCGAATCGACGGCCTCGGAGGCGCTGGACCGCAGCAAAATTGCAAATCCAAAGAAGCACAAACCATTTCCTGTATAATACGGTTACTGATACTGCTAATGAAATGAAAATACAATAATAATGTTCCTGTTAATGAACATAAACAATTTGATAATACTGTTACATGTTACTGTTGTTATGATTTGTTATGTTGATGTCATGTTATTTACATTTCAAACAAGTTGCAGCAGCTCCACTGTCTGTGGCTTCTTGATGAGCACTCCACGGGTGGCAGCAGCTGCAATCGCACACGTGGTGGCCAAAGGAGCACCAATAACGATAGCACAAGGACATGCAGTGAGTAGGATCACCAAACCACGGTGGATCCAATCATGAAAGCTCTCCCCAGTGCTCAAGGGCACCACTGTGCACACAATGAGGACCTGAAAAATGTGTCCGGGTACGACTAGAATCAACAGAAACTGACAGAGAACCACATCCTTTGAGTGAATGGAAAGACTGCAAAGATTGGACACATCATCAAAATCGATGGATCTTCCCCGAAATACCCCATATGGGTGTTTAAAAAGTACGCACATGTCACATGTATGCACCAAGGCGCTGTCAACAGGACGACAGGCGTCCAAATGCGAGCAAATCTCTCTAAGACAAGTTGTTTGCCAGTCCTCTGCATTTGAGCTTCTTCCACCTGGATGTCAACATGCTAAGCTCTTCTCGCCACCCAGAACAAAACATTTCACCAAAATGCTAACTACCTGGCAACACTTGCTTTTCACGAGCAAAAAGTGGTCCCAGGCCTTCGCTTCAATCTGCGAGAGGGTCGAATTCGAATAGTCTTTGGTCAAGGTCACTTCGACATATCCGTTTAAGATCACACATCCTGATGCAATCTTGTGCTGCTTCTTCTTCTCCACAGGACGTGCTTCACCAGTGATCGCCTTCGTGATTCGGTTCGGTCCGGCCGCAGGACCGGGTCTGGTCTGTCCTGTCTGGCCAAGGCACCGCTTCGGAACAGGAGGCTGATCCTCGAGTCACCACTCCGTCGGCAGGACATTCTTCACCCGGACGCAAGGAAATCACATCTCCTGACAGGTACTGCTCAGAGGCTCTGCTACACACGTCAGCGACAAAACTGCTCAAGCTCAACCTGTCCTGTCTGACATCTCCTACCGCAAAAAACGCACAAAAAAAAAAGAAGCAAGTCGGCTCATGTCGGCTCTGTCTGAACATGTTCTGAACTGGACTGCTTTCCATGAAAGCCGCCCGATGACGAGTCCACAGCGCAAACGAATGGGACGACGACTTCGACGCGTCTCCTTCTTTCAACTCTTCGGCCGCGACCATTCGGCCATCTTGTGCCAAAGAAACCATACGAATCGTCTCCAGTTGCATGACCTCGAAGCGTTATGGTTATATTATATAGATATGGTTCCTCAGGATTCCGAACTCTTTTCGATGTTTTTCTGGTTTTCCGGATCGTGTTTTCAAGTCGAACACTGTTCTTTTGCGTCTGCGTTCTCTGTGTGAACCTCTGGGTGGATGTTCAGACCTTGCTCTCTTCGCTCCGGTCCTTTACAGTTATGGCAGTTGTGCCACTTCCCAGGAGCGAACGGGGAACCTGTCAGACGGGTTCTCCAACCGACCCTTCACCTCCGTTTCGGCTCCGATCCCCGACCCTTTTTTTCGGGGTTCCAAGGCTTGCGAAAAGCGCCTCTCGTGCGGGCGTGTTGGAACCCCAACTTGGCGCCTATACACTTGTCATTCCAGTACATCACGAACATATAAGTATCACACACGCAATCATCCACGTCCAGCTAATATGATGTATGCTACAGATGTATACATTCATATGATATGTATGTTTGGTGCATGTCTTTTGTCCAAGCGCTGGCCTTTCGCAGACTGCAGTTTCCGTTTCGCAGAACTGACGTGTCCTCGCATTTTTTTAACGGTCACAGACGGTCACGACTCCAATTTCGTCCCTTCCTTGTTCCTTCCTGAAAGCGAACCTCCAAGACACATCAAGACACATTATGCATTAAACATCATTAAACAACAAAGACAAATGAAAAACAACAAGCTGTCCCAACCAGGTGACAGTTCGCAAGGCCTTGGATACACGACTCATGGCAATTTGCTCAATCACCTGAGCAGCATTTGCATCGGTGTTTTTTGCACAAATTTTGGTGAGTAAAAGATGAGGCAAGGACACCATGCGACAAAGATAGACAGAACATGACAGAACTGATGTCTCCTTGGCTTCTTGAAGCCTTCAATCATTTTGATTTCAAGTCCATCCTGGTCATCCATGCATGGTCATCCATGGTCATCCGGTCTCTAATTTCTTGGTCCGCCTTGGCCAAGTTATAGAGGACAATGACCAAAGCAGCATCTGCCATCTCTCCCTGCGCCACGGCACCTCCAGTGGCGATCACGACCTCAGACGCCGGCGGCGGCGGCCGGGGCGAAGCGTTGCTCGGTGTCTGGTTGAAGCAAAGCGGCAAGTGCGGCCAAATCAAGCTGGCACTTGGACAAGTTCACACCAGCTTCCCAAAGAATAAATGGAATCCCAATACAAATCGCTGCGATTTGGCAGCCAAGTCCTGCCTTGCAAGACATGAGAGGGTGTGCTTCGGTCAACATTGGCAGGTCGAGGACCATTTCGTTGGTACAAAAAACCACCTCTACCAGAACCCCTGCAGCCAAAAGCACCGAAAAGGGTGGCAATTGTGGGCAAATCCTTGTATCAAGTGCAGTGGTTGGGGGGCGTTGGGGGCCTGCGGCGGAAAACCGGGTGCAAAACCTCACGATTCTTCAAGCAGCATTTGGAACCTCCACATAAATCACTTCACCTCGCAACCACCAAAAAGCCAAGAGTCTCAAACACTCGCCCAACCCAAAAAAAGCACCGCAGGCCACACCCAGGCCCCTTCGGCCTAGTCAGTTACCGTTCTGAGATTCTTCAGTGAACACACATAAACTCACGGATCACTTCCCTTTCAATTCTCAGTCAGTACGAAAAGTCAATAACCGTGGTCGTTCTTGCTTTGATTGCCTGCTCGTCGTGCCCCAAGGTCGCATGCAAGATGGCGCCTGGGCGTTGTTCAATGATAGTGAGTTTGACCGTGCTAAGGCAAGGCCACACAACGAAGGTGGGCGAAACGCAGCTGAGTTTCCAATGATCAGCAGAAGTCCAGACAGCAGGACGGAAAGATGGCGGATGTGCAGCTGGAACCAAAGCAAAAAGTCAAACTCGATGATGTCGTCATCAGCTCCTGCACCCTGACCTCACGTGGCGGATGTATGGACTACGTGGCGGATAACTTTGGAAGACATTGGATGATTAAATATGGTGAATTAGTCTAATTAAAATCGAATTATTCTGTTTCTACTAGCAAACATTGTTACTACTATAGTAGACTTGTTACTAGTAGCGATGCACTTGTTCCTAGTAGCGAACCTTGTTCGTAAGAAGCGATCGCTGGAAACATCGTCCCTCTCTGTCCAGTGCTTGCCGGGGGCACCCAGCAGCGCAGCGCCCAGCCCCGACTTGTTCAAGCGATCGAGGATGGCTTCCGGCGCAAGGCAACAGGGAATTGGACAATGCGCCTGGGAGGAGCTCCGGAGGAGCTCCGGAGGTGTCCGCACGAAGTCGTCCGGTGATGCTGAGAGGAGTTCCAGCTCCGGCTGGGAAACCACACGAGTGGGTCTTAGTATGCCTGAGTGTTGGCCTTGCAGAGAATAAGTGTAACTTGTTTGGAAGGTTGGCGACTGTTTCACTTGCATGTCCCTGTGAGGTTGAGGTTTTGCCTCATCACTCAGCTAGCCAAGAAAGCCGCCACCTTAACACTTGAGTAAACTTCACACCAAAGACACTAGGGACAAGCTATGTTCTTCCAGGCTGGGACATGCATTTGTGGACCGGTCCCATATCTGGTCTGCGCGGGCGACCAAGACGAACCACAGGTCACCACAGCAGCCATCGCACCGTTTACGACCAGGACGCGTTCCTTTTCTTGGGAAACAGGTTGTTTCAGTGAATAGTTGGAAGACTCCGAATCATGCACCAGACCTCCAGACCTCCAATTGACCTTCAGATGTTGCGTTGTTCCAAATGACTTTGAACGACAAGAGTCACATGAGTCATTCTGCCAAAACATACTGGAAGAAGTAAAGGACATGATGAAAAGCAAGGTAACATCGCTTTTGAGAGGGCCCCTATCGCTTTTGCAGGTGTTGGCCAAATTCTTGCAATTCACGATAGCTCTTTAGAAAAAAAGAACATAAAACACATCCACTACACATTTTGTCGTCTGCTCACTCGGCAAACTTGTTAACACCCACTGCGCTTGATAGCAATCCCCGCAAAAAGGCCTTTCCAACCCCTTCAGCAGTTGCAACCAAGTCCAACCCCCAAAGTCATGACAAGAAACTTCTACAACGTCAAATCCACTCACACGTCATATCCCCGTCCTCAAGGAAAGACGTCATGTCGTCTCCAGCGCCCCCCCCTTCTGTGCAACTGAGTTTCCACGACGCAAATCTTGGAGAAGGGATTCATCGAGACGGTTTCCACGCCCTTCAGCGGTTCCAAAATGCGCTTGATGAGCCGGACTTCGGCGTCGCAGCAAATGTTGCGAACGCTGAGCCTGCCGCGACGAGCGGCCCCCGAACGCGTCACGGTGTGGCCAGTGTGGCGACGCCCCAGTCGACGTGAAGATGGGTGTCGGAGGGTGGTGGAGGGTGGAGGAGGGTGGAGTCAATGGAGTCTGGATGGAGCTCCACCACCTCGTCCCACAAGGCAGAGAGGAAGGAAGGACGTTTTCCAAGAACCACAGTCCTCGGAAGGAGTGGATCTTCTGCCAAGCAGATCCTACCGTCCTAACTACTATCATGTCCTATCCACCGTAGTGATTGTATTGGGCAAGGGGATGAAGGAGGAAGGCAAAAATTGGATGGCACAAAACAACAGCACAGTACGTTGGTTTCCAGGGCCTGGTCTTCACCACCTCGTGGGGTCTGCAACCCCTCACAGAACAAATCTCTGGCAGAGCGTGACCACAGCAAGCACTGCAAATTTCCTCAGGAAGGAGAAGGCTGCTTGCACTTCTTCCTTAGGCGCCAGGAGATACGCAGGAATCGAATTTCTCTCATGAGCCGAGAATGAATAAAAGTCCAAGTGGCTTTGAGAGAAGAGTGACATAAAGCTTGTGCGGCTTCTGGCAACTCAGATGGCAAAATGGCTTCGAATCTCCTACTCAACCAGCTTTGCAGGTCGAAGCCTTTCAAAGGCTTCTTCGCTCTTACTACTACGTGTCAATGTGCCTTTCGGGCCTGTAAATTTGCATCCAGCAGATTGATGAGTGTGTCTGTGCGTCCAGTGCTGTCAGGCGTTATTTGTTGTGAAGAGATGCATATAGATGCATTCTTCTTGGAGTCCATTGTAATAAAATGTCAAAGTGGACACAAAGCATTAGCACCCATCAGGATCCATCCAAACACTTTGCCCTGCCCTTCTTAAGAGAAAAAGAAGAAAAGCGTTCAGAATCCTTCGGCCATGCTACAGGTTCTCTGCGATCTCATGGTCTTTGCTCCAGATTTCGTGGTTTGCAGGGCACTTTTAATCGACTGGCCTGAGACGAGAAGAACGAATGGCGGAAGCGCAAGCCGGTGAGCAGCTCGGTGTCTCAGAAAACCGTCCCCAACAAGCATTCATAGCTTGGATCGGCATAGCTTTGGGAGCAAACCTGGAACCACATGGCACTACTATTGGGGGAAGTGAGCATCCCCTGATTGACCATGCTGTCTTGGAGTGCTTACCTCAGGTGTATCATGTCATTGCACAAGCAATTCTGTATGATCATGAGGATTTATAGAGGTATGCTCGCACTAGTCACATCCGTCACATCCTGCCCAAATCCTTCAATCCGCTCCAGGTGGCTCGTGTAGCTGTGCTCCAGCTTGGCGGTATGGCTGTGTTCCAGCGCGGTCATTTTGGGAGTGTTGTCCTCAAGAACTGCCTTGTGTCCGCCATGACCGTGACCATGACCATGTGCATGACTGCTCTCATGGCCATGTCCACCATGAGAATGTCCGGCATGAGAATGTCCATGTCCTCCATGTCCTCCATGTCCTCCGTGTGCCCCGTGTGCACCGTGTCCTCCGTGCCCACTGCATTCTTCGTCACTACATTCATCCTCACTGCTCTCATCATGGGAATGTGCAAAGCCACATCCACATTCTTCATCGTGACTGTCGTCATCACTGTCAACATCAACTTTTGCATGCACGTGTGCTGGGCTATGACTACCATGACCAGCATGACCGTTGCAATGCCCACTCTGCCCATGCTCGTGGCTGTGCCCATGGCTGTGGCCATGGCTGTGGCCATGGCTGTGGCCAGCACCATGTTCGGCCTGGCCGTGACCACACATGTGGGCCTGGTTGTCACCATGGCTATGACCACCATCAGCGCCGCCAGTGGTCATGGCAATGAACAGGCCAAGCAGCCCAAGGCTTTGCGAACTGTACAGCTCAATGAGTGAAATGGCTGCAGAATCAGTTTCGATCGGGGAAAACACAGCGCCATAGACCCCAAGGGGCCCCAAGATCATGACATGTTCATGATGTTTGGAGGTGACATGACATCCCAGACCTTTGGCAGACGCGATGCGACGCGATAAGAAAACGGCCTGTTTCCCGACAAAGAGTCAGCTGGACGGTGTACAAAGTAGTCATGGCCTGGCGAAATGAGGACGAATGAGGACGAATGAGACGCCCTGTGGCACATCAAAATGGTTTTAAACATGTGAAACATGGGGATTCTAGATTCACTGATTCACTGTTCTATTTGAGGGTTCGCTAAATGTGCAGTCTATTTGGAGGATGCATGTTAGTTGTAGCATGTTGTAGCTGAAACTCCTTTGCTTCCTGTGAATTGGAAGTGAAGCTTGCAAACAACAGAGCACAATTCCATGCCATACACTCCGACGAACACATCCCATGGAAGTAGAAGGCATGGGCCTACGGAAGAACATGTTCCTTTACAAAACAGGTGGTGAACTCCACTTCCATGTGATGTGTTCGTCGGAGAGTGCCTCATGCGGCATGCGCTCCTTTTGAACGGCAAATCGGTGACATTCACCTGACGGCCGCTTTGGCTTTCCCTGTGCGAAAAAGCGGCTCACTTGTCCCTGTGAATCACAATACGTAGCCTTTATGTAGCCTTTATGATCCTCTATCCACCACCCATCTGGTTCATGATCTTGTCGTAAAGTTTCAATGGAAGACCCAGAAGAGTGTTTGTGTCATAGTCCTTGTCCGCTCTCGACTTGGACGAGCGAGAGGAGAACCAAACTCCATCATCGGATTGCAGGCGAAGGCCAGCATCCAAGGGCAGTCCCATCTGGTAAGACTCCATATCAAATTTACTGCCCGCGCCTGCTCCTGCTTGAACCGGAGGTGCCATCACAGGTGGTGCCATCACTGGCGGTCCCATCACAGGTGGTGCCATCATCGGCGGTCTCATCACAGGTGGTCCCATCACAGGTGGGGCCATCACTGGTGTTGCATAGCTGGGCAAGGGCTGATCGCCTGCATCTGCCAGCAAACTTTGCACTTCCTGTAGGTTCATGGTGATATGTTCAAAGGAGGCTTCTGGAGAGATCTGCAAAACGTTCTTTGAATGAGCAGCCCAAGATCGGCACAGCAAACTGGCAACGAAACCCAAGCGGAAAGAAACCATGGCACTTCCAAATCCCAATATGAAGCCTGACAATAGTGGACTACCTGAGCCCAACGGCGACCCCAAACGGCGGTTCGCTGAAGCGCACGCTCGTTTTCGAAGGTCCCGATCTCCAGGCTCCTCGTCGTAAAAAGCAGCCAGGTGTACTAAAGGCAAGCTTGACGGCTGTGATTCCCGGTACAAAGTAATGCCTGGCGCACCACGTGGGAAACCAAGCCGCGTCGAAGATTTTACATGGAACGACCATGGCGACGGCTGAGTGAGCGGCGCTGGGGACGATGGATTCCCCATTCCAATCGTTGACACATCCTGCCAGTCGTTTCAGGAGGAAACAAGAAACGTTGAGAAACAAAGCAAAACAAAGCTGCACTCTCAAGAAGAACCAAACAATGCAAGCAAGCATTCTCGAAACTCTCAAACTCTTAAAGCAAATTTCCGGTTTTGCCACACCAAAAGCAAACATGAAACATGTGTTTAGGATCGGTGGTCCGAGAAGAAGGTGGGGACGAATGTGCCAGATGACGAATCCCTGAGAACATGGCGAGACGATGTGCTGCTTTTTCTGCAATCTGCCAGCGAGTTGAAAATTATCCAGTTCTCATGCTGAAGAGTTCTGCAAAACTATGGGCTGGGCATGGTGAGCTCTGCCTCATTGATGCAAGCTTGGTTGAGGGCACCTGACTGATGAGCTCTGGCAGGTTTGTCACCGAAAAAATAAAGAAAAAGAGATGTCAAGGAATACAAGTATCCTGACAACGCCCATTATGATCTATACGACATATCTATACATTACATATCTATATACTAACCTATGCATGAGATCATGATCCATTTCTCAATCCGTTAGCTAATCTTCCTGTGCCGCGGACTTTCATCATCACACAAGCGAGTGCATTGGATGTTGGTGTAGTCGAAGCCTCACAACTCTTCAGAGCTGTTGGTGTAGCAAATCGCACCATTTCTCGGCACATTTTGGCGCTAGAATGTAGTGATCACCAAATAGATAGACACGGTTTCCAATACATGTTTAGTGGGGATCTACTTGTCAATACTTTTCTATCTATTTGGAGGAGTGTAGTGATGACATTGATTGAAAGAAAAGGACCTGAGACTGACTCACCCGTTGCCCGCAAGAAGAAAAAACCTGAGTGTGCGACTCTTTGCTGTTGGGTTTGAAGGATTTGAGTAGGTGTACTCAAACCTGGGCCGTCCCAGACAGACCCAGACGTTTCCCAGCTAATGGAGTGTGACTCCCTTTCTGTCGAGAATGTCGAGAGACTTACAGCTCTGTCCAAGCTAACGAGTTGTTCGCACGCCCTGTCTGTGAGGTCCGACATGTTGGGCTGTGCACAAAAGCCTTCACTCCTGACACGGCTCTTCACGGCGTGAAACACGGCGTGAAACACGGCTGGACAGACAATACAGTCGACCAATGTCGACCATGTGTTCCAGAGTTTTTCAGCGGCAGTCACGTCTGCACAAGACTTGAATCCTTGCAAGTTACAAATTCCTCACCTGTCTGCTTCCATCGCTGTGTAGGCTTCTGTCATTGACAAGCCTGATCCAAACCTGCGCAGCAAGGGCAGCAAGGATGGGGCAATCGGTGTGATGCCAAATTGTAAGCGATGCCGGCTTGACTAGACTGACTTGTATATCAACTAGACTAGCACTTTTTCCATGCCAGGATGACGGCAGCATTGAGACAATGCCTTTCGCCTGAATCGATGTTCAAGCAAAGCTCCGCAGATAAATGGATACGGAAAATCCTCACGGTCGCCACCGGTCGCCACCGTCTGAAGTCTGAGGCAACGGCTGGAGATTGGATGGCATATTGTTCCAGCTCGACAAATCTCCAAATGGCCGCAATCCACAGAAAGAGAACCAAGCACCAATACCTTTAAATCATCAACAAGCTAAGCACCACATCATGCCACATCGAACCGGTCGGAGGATAGAGATTCGGATTGTCATGGGTCCGGCCACGAGGACGTTCGATGCAACGACTCTATTGGACTCGTTCGATCTCTACACGAGGACCGTGGTTTCATGCCGGGCGAAAAGAAACGCTCGGTGTCGGCGCACAAGAGGAACAGCCGGGGATTATGAATCACCTGGGAAAAGTCATGCGCAGCAGGTCGCAGCAGCACAAAAAGGATCAAAAAGGTCTGCATGTTCACCAGCGGGCACTCTGAGGAGCTGGCAACCCACTTGGGAAGGTAGCAACTGCCAAACCTGTCGTCGTGTCGCATGTCGTCTCAAAGGTCTTTGGAGTCTTTGCAGTTGCCCCACACCAAACAGGAAGCCAAGGATCAATGTGAAACATCAGAATTACACCAGAAACATTCTCAGCAATTCGATCCTCCAAACTGCCTTTGCTGCTTTCGGTGTTGGATTGCGCTGTGCCATACATGCGCACAGAATCGCACAGACATCTGGCCCCTCAGCTCATCTCCGTGCCTTACCATGACGCAGGCGTGGCCGTGGCAAGCTTGCTAGTCCGGAAGGGCCATCAGGCCCTTTCTTGAGCCGTGTTGAACGAAGCCGTGTTGAACGAAGCCTATTTATACTGCTCACTGACTTCGGCCCGTTGAGTTCAACGTGTCCTGACATGTTAAACATGTTGTACATGGCGCTCCAGGTAACCATCATGTGTCGTTATGTGTCGTCTTTTTCTGCGTCAGCTCGCAGGCAATTCATGTTCACTCTCCATCAGCTCCTCGTCGCCCAGGTCCTCGTGCACGGACCACTCCGGGGTGCAACAAACTCTCTCCACGATGGACAAAAAAGGACCGGCGAAAACGGCGAAAACGGAGCCTTCTGCAACGGCAATGAAGGCCCATGGCCAGTCCGACGCCGCCTGTCGGTTGACCAAGCGGCTTTCAATGCTTTTCAGCTCTTTTCCATGGGGGGAAGTGAAGCTGAGCAACAAGAAGCTAGTAGTAACAAGTGCCACGCTAGTAGTAACAGGTGCCTTACTAGTAGTAACAAGAAGCTAGTAGTAACAAGTGCCACCTAGTAAGGCACCTGTTACTACTAGCGTGGCACTTGTTACTACTATAGCTTCTTGTTACTACTAGTAAGGCACCTGTTACTACTAGCGTGG